ACAATGAAAATAATTTGAAAACAATTATGATTTAATATGTAACATTATGAATTTAACATGTTTATACTATCTGCTTCTTACCTAAACTATAAATATCGACTTTTTCATTGTAAATTTTAGTTTTGGAACTAATCTCTGGAGCTGCATATAGAGCGGTACCTACATAGCCTGTTTTACTTTCATCTGCAGTGTCTTCTTTATCAACTTTTTCTGGACTGTTGGATGAAGTGTTCTCAGTTGGTTTTGATATTATACTTGTAGTAGCCAGCCCAAAATCGCCAATTTTAACGTGATCTCCAGAATCCAAAAAAATATTAGCTGGTTTCAGATCTCTGTGTATCATACCCTGTAGGTGAATATGGGATAAGCCTAATAAATAAAAAGTAATATATGCTGTAATGAAGCGTATGAAAAAATTTCCATTAAAATTTAGTCCAATCCATGATTACCATAGAAAATATATACATTTTTACGGTGGTTATATTTCTGGTAAAATTAGCGTCCTCACATAATACACTTATTTTACTAATTAATATGAACCCTAAAAGTTTTCTCTCTGTGAACACTCTGTCGATAGAATATCGTCTCAAAGTTGTAATTTCATTACAAGCTACATATTTTGCAAAGGGAACCCTAAGGTCGTAAGATAAACAAACAATACATCCGTGGTGATCCATCAGTTTCACACAATTGTCAAAGTTTTCATAGAATTTGTTTCTTGGTATCAGAAGTGGAGTTATCACGTTTTGCCCACCATGTTGCTCAAATATCTGTAAAATTCGAATATACAGAAATTACATTAAATATATGGTTGACTTTTCTGCGTTTATAAAAAATAGAATTACAGATCACACTGATGTAGTTAGTTGAACACTGATCTTTTATAAGAGAAATATGATGTGAAATAAAATTGAAAAAGCATAAAGAAAATATGGTTACCTGTAGTATATAAATATGAATGTAAGGATAATTTGATGTATTAATCACTTGAAAAAGCTAATTTTTAGCGAAACATGTTGTGATATATTTTTTTCAATAAAGTTTGTGGAAATCAAATCGTTTAGGTGTAGTTTGTGAAATTAATATGGATCTTCATCAAGTAACGGCCGAATCAATCAGAAAAAAAAAGAATAGTAAATTACTCTAAGTTAAAACATTTTATACTATACTTTATCTACCCACTCTAACAATATTAGCCTGAGGTAGTGGATATAAAATGCCTTGAATTCTTCACAAAAGATGAGGTTTCTCCTTGTAGCGAATAATTGGAAGTAGAAATCTGGAACAGTTGCGGAAGGCTAAATCCCTGGAACTAATGATCAGTTTAA